TTTAAAAGCAGTGATTACACCAACCCCATCTTTTTTTTTGCTTTTTTCTCCTCCCTCCACAGCCAAATTTCTGAATGTTTCACTCCATTTTTATTTTTCTGTTCCCACTGGGATGACCCTTTATCCGTGGATTCGATGTTTCAAAGGATCAAAATGAAGTGAGAGAGGCTCAAGTTGTGGCCTCTTTTTCCCAACACTTCCCATCCCTTTTCCCTCTGTCCGTGCAGCCACTTTTATTAGAGGTGTTTTTCCCCCCTGCAGCCCCAGCTGGTGGTGACAGTGCTCAGGGATGACTCAAGCAGGGCACAGGAGCTTCATGTGACCGTGGTGTCACCCGGGATTCATCTTCTCCCCCTCAGTTCCTCTCAGACATCCCCAGGGGCTGCAGCTCATCAGCCTCCTGCTCCCTTGGGGCTCTCCAGAGTTCTGGAATCCTGCTGGAGGGGAGCTGGTTCTGCTCCAGCCTCTGGAGGTGGGATGGATTAATGGAATGGGGTTTCCAATTCCTGGGTTTCAGTGCAGGCAGAGGCTTTGGTCTTGGAGGTTGATTATGGAGTCATGGAATGGCCTGGGTTGAAGGGACAATATCTCAGAATCCCAGGATTCCCAAGGCTGGAAAAGCCCTGGCAGCCCAGGGAGTCCCAGCTGTGCCCGATGCCCACCTTGTCCCCAGCCCAGAGCCCTGAGTGCCACGTCCAGCCCTTCCTTGGGCACCTCCAGGGATGGGCACTGCAAAGCTCCCTGGGCAGCCCCTGCCAAGGCCTGAGCTCCCTTTCCATGGGCAAATTCCTGCTGCTGTCCACCCTGAGCCTCCCCTGGCCCAGCCTGAGGCCATTCCCTCTTGAACTTCGTGCTTGATTCTTCCTCTGAAGATCTCTGAGTTTTGTCCGGTCTCAAGGGACCTCCTGAGCAATTCCATAAATGTGGGGACAACTCAGAATCCACCTGAGGTGGTGGAGTCCCCACACCCTGGAGGTGCCCAAGGAAGGGCTGGACGTGGCACTCAGGGCTCTGGGCTGGGGACAAGGTGGGCATCGGGCACAGCTGGGACTCCATGGGCTGCGAGGGCTTTTCCAGGCTCAGGGATCCTGGAATTCCCTGACTTCAGGTGCCAAATCAGTGACACTTGAAGGCACTTTTGAGATCCAGTCTCTACCAAACCCCCCAACTCCAAACTCAGCTTTGTATTCCAGCCAGGACTGCTCCTGGTTCCGTTCCTTTTTCTGGAAGGGTTCTGACCTTACCCACTTTGCAGCCATAAACATTCCCAAGCAATTTTTCCTGCCCTGGTTGGGAGGGAAGAGCTGATGGAAACAGTGAATCCTGGGCTGTGCCCTCACACATTTGAGGGAAGGGTTTCCAAAGGCAGAGCCCTGTCCCACCTCTGGAGAATTTCATCCTTGTGCTCATCAGGTGCCGGTATTAGAAACCACCAGGGATAGTTCTAGAGAGAAACGGGGTCTGACGTGGCCCTTGCACCCCAAAACCCTTTTCATCCTCATCAAAGATTCCCAGGATGACTCCGGAATGATTGGCTTCCATCCATGCAGCCCTGAGCCGATTTCTGGGTGGTTTTCCATTGATTTATGGGAATGTTGAACCCAGAGGCTCTGGGATTTTGATGTTGGCTTTGCTGTGACTTTCAGTGTGACTTTTGGAGGCATCCAAGCAAGGCCAGAGTTTCAGGATGACTTTTTGGGGGTGTTTGGTCTCTTTTTCCAGTCACCAGCGAGGTCAGGTCCTCTGTGCCTGACTCAGTTTTGGGCAATCTGTGCAGACACTCTGGGTGTATCATGCAAGTGTTGTTGGAAATAAAATCTGTGTCATAACACATAAAAACCAGGAGATGTTTATGGCCCTGCTGTCATCCCAAACCAGGAATTCCCATAAACCCCACACTTAACTCCCAATGCCTCCAACCTTTGTTAACCAGCCCCATAAACGACAAATAATGCAAGAGAGATAAAACAACTTCATAAATCGGGATGGAAATGGGACAGAAGGAGCAGGGAATACAAGGCAGGTGGAATTGTTGGTGAGAGAACCATAAAACCCAGGTTTGTGGTTCTGGGGGCTGTGGTTAACCAGGATGTGGTTCATGAGCAGGCTGCTGGCAACGAGGAGCAACCCAAGCATCCTCCTGCTCTGCCAGCTCATGTCACAGCCCCACACGGGCTCGGCCGAGTCTCTTCTGGCAAAAACCTTGCAGAAAAAGAAAATCAGCTCCTCCTTCTTCTTTATTCTGGTCTTGTAGATTGGAATTATGGCCACGTTTTGCTGCGTTGTTGTTGGGGTTTATTTTCTATATAGAAATTTCTCCAGAGCCTTCTAAAGAAGTGAATTCACACCGTGTTCTAGCAGAGCAGTTGACAAAAAAAAAACCCCAGAACCCAAGCTAGAAACAAGATGGAAATCCTGCAGATTAGTCCAGTAAATAAAGTCTATTTTTAAATTATTTCTCTGTTTTAGTGATAAGTGTTTTATTTTGTGATACAGGGAATTAAATTTTGGAAAGGAGGAAGATCCTTCTGTCCAGGCTTCACTGGAGAGCTGGACTGGATTATCCCTGTGGGAACTCTTCTTTTTTATTCTGATCCTAAAGAATTATGGAATTCTTCTCTGGAATTATGGCCACATTTTACTGCGTTTCCCTATTGTTGTTGGGGCTTCCCCTGCATTTATTTTTTAGATAGAAAGTTCTCCAGAACCTTCTGAAGAAATAAATTGATGATGTGTTCTAGTAGAGCAGCAGGTGTCAAACCCCAAAGCAGAAGTCAGATGGAAATCCTGCAGAGGAGCCCAGTAAATAAAGTATATTTTTAATTTCTCTCTCTGTTTTAGTGCTCTGGGTGTTGTGTTTAGTGATACAGGGAATTATATTTTGGAAAGAAGGAAGATCCTTCTGTCCAGGCTTCACTTGAGAGCTGGACTGGGACGATCCTTGTGGATTTCTCCCTCTTCTTCTTTATTCTGGTTTTAGAGACTGGAATTATGGCCACGTTTTACTGAATTTCACTATTGTTGTTGGGGTTTCTCCTGCATTTATTTTCCATATAGAAACTTCTCCAGAGCCTTCTAAAGGAATAAACTGACACCGTGTTCTAGCAGAGCAGTTGTCAAAAAACATCCCAAATTGGGAGCAAGGTGAAAATACTGCAGATTAGTCCAGAGAATAAAGTAAATTTTCAAAGTTTTTCTTAGTGGTAAGTGTTGTATTTAATGATACAGAGAAGTATATTTTGTATTTAATTATCCAGGGAATTATATTTTGGAAAGAAGGAAAATCCTTGTCCAGGCCGTTCACTTGAGAGCTGGACTTGATGATCTTTGTGATTAATTTGTGATTCTGTGATCTGCCTCTCTGATGAGTGGTGAAGCTTTTGGGAGGGGATTTATCAAACTTCGCTCCTGGTGCCTTTTCTGTTGTGCTGGCAGGGAAAGATGAGCAAAGCTGCAAAGCTTTATCACAAAATTTGCTATTTAAAGGGTGTCAGGAGCTCAGCCATCCTTGTCTGAGGTAGAGGCAGGACCAAATGCCATGAGAGAGGGATGTGGAATGATGCTTCCAGCTCCATCCACCTCCAGGATTGCTTTTGAGCAAGGATTGGGAAGAGGCTGGGATTTGCAAGGCTTGGTTTAGCTTCTGCTGGTGACTCTGGATTAGAGCTGGGTTTAGCTGCAGCAGCCAAAGCATTCCCAATCCCAGTTTTCCTGTGAGATCCTGGCCAAAACTCCTCACCTTCCACAGCTCCTCATCCCCAGGGTGGGGATGCTAGCCCCGAATTCCCAGGGATTTTGGATTCCCAGGAGCATCAGCAGCAGAGCAGGGGTCAGGGGCAGGATGGAATGCCAGGGAATGTTCCTGGGGAGAGGGAATATTGCTGCTACATGCAATTTACATTCCTATTTCAATTCTATTGCAATTTAGCCTTATAGAGCTCACTGAAGCAAACAATAAAAAATGGGTGGAAGGGAAGAATCTCCACACTCAGGCTGGAGGCAGGTGGTAAAATGAGGGAGAGGGAGGAAGAACCTCAATTTTCTTACAATTCCTGGTTCTCCCACTCGGGGTGATGTCCCCTGATGACTCTGGCTGATAACAGATATCCCTGTCAGTCTCTGAGCCCTCTGATGCTGAGATAAGGATGCTGAAGCTGCTGCCAGGCAATGTTTTTACTGCTGCCAAGGCCAGCACCATCATCTGAGGCCTCATCAAAGATGCAGAATGTTGCTTCTGTTCTTTCAAAAATGCCAAGAGTAAATCCAGGGGTAGTAAATCCAAAATAGAGCCATGCCATGCACAGAACAACTTGGAAAAGTTGTTTTCTCCACAGTTTTCTTGCTGAATAATAGAGGAACTGAGCCTTAAACCCTGCTGTGGCTTCATGAAATGTTTTAATTCTCTGTGGACAAGCTGTAGGGATTTTTTTTTATTTTATTTTTTTCCCATTCCTTTCTTTCTCAGCATTGCAGTAGCAGATGATTTTCAGAGGGCTCTGCTTGACAAGATGGAATTGATCTCCTGCTGGCCTCAGCCACAGAGTGTGGGATTTTACAACGTGCCTGGGGGATCTGAGCACCCACTTCTCTTTGGTGTTAACAAGTGCAGCTGCTCAGAGTCCCGTGGCAGTTCTGGAAAAGCCAGCCACGATTTCCCAACCTCCCTGAACCTTCAGAAAGCACAGATAACACACCAGAGTCAGGAATATCAGATAAACCCTGACTCTTAGGGGTAACCTCCCTTTTTTTTCTTTTTTTTTTTTTTTTTCCAGAGTGTAGATGATTTAAATATAAATTAATTTTGTTTCCCCGAAAGCTTTGAGCAGCTGCCATGGAGGGAATGAATCCAGCACCAGGATCCTACACCCCATAAAACCTTTTAGTGCCTTGCAGGGTGTTTGAGCCCTACCAGAAATGAGGAGTTTGCTTTTCTCAACACTTGCTCAGGGATTTGTTTTGCTCAGTAACATTCTCTTTTTTTTTTTTTTTTCCTGTTGCAGGGAAAAGCTTCACTCTGACCATCACAGTCTTCACAAATCCTCCCCAAGTAGCCACCTACCACAGGGCCATCAAGATCACGGTGGATGGACCTCGGGAACCACGAAGTAAGTGAGCTCAGGAGAGAATTTCCAGAGGGATAAACTGATTTAATGTAGGGGCTCATCCCCATCCACACCAAACCCAGCAGCATGTGGAGAAATGGGAACATTTTAAGCTTTACAAATGGTTTTAAGCCTGCCTTCCTGAAGTTTTCTTTTTCAATGGTGTCCAGCTGATCCAGTGACTTGCATTTCTGAAATATCCAGCCAGGCCTGGCTTGGCTCATTCCCAAGAGCTGACAGAAGGGATGCTGGTAAAAGGTGGGCAGCCAATACCTTGCACATCATTTCTTGCTTTTCAAATGCTAAGAGAATTTTAAAGCATTGGAAACCAATATGGCATTGATCAAACCCTTCAGGCTCAGCCACCCTGCAAACAGGAATAAATCCTGAGGTTCCCTGAACTCCCAGCTGTGGGACAGTTTGGGAGAAGACATTTATTTGCATAGAGAGAAAATCCTTTTTTCTTTTTCTTTTTCTTTTTCTTTTTCTTTTTCTTTTTCTTTTTCTTTTTCTTTTTCTTTTTCTTTTTCTTTTT